GAGGAGGAAGGAGCAGCAGAGACAACATTTGATGAACTGACTGCGACCCCCATTCCCCCATCCCCTTGTGCCACTGGGGCAGTACAGTTAAGCCCAGGAAGAAGGGAGGGATGGGGGGAAGGTGGTTTAGGATTTAGCTTCATTTCTCATTATCGTGCTCTGATTTGATTGGTAATAAACTGATTTCCCCAAGTCGAGTCTGTTCTGCCCATGCCAGTAACTGGCGAGTGATCTCTCTCTGTCCTTACCCCAACCCATGAGCCTTTAATGGTATCTTCTCTCCCTTGTCCAGTTGAGGAGGGGGAGCGATAGAGCAGCTTTGGTGGGCACCCAGCATCCAGCCAGGGTCAACCCACCACAGCTTCAAACGGGAGGTTTCACTAGATGACTTCCAGCAGTGCCTTCCAGCCAACACTTCTATTCTTCCTAGCACCTCGTTTTCCAAACAACCTCCCTATACACCGTTGTCACAACTGCAGAGCTGGAAACACTCAGCTGGCAGTTAAATGGCTTTCCAGTGCAGATCTGTGATCGAGCCACGGCAGCTGTGCTCTCTGCAGATTAATTTAGTTTGGTTTGCACAGCAGTTGGGTCCTTGTCCTGTATTTTGTGCACCCACGCAACAGCCCAGCGATACAGTGCCTGGGATAAATTCAGAGGGGCAGCCGACTGGTATGGCTCGTTGAATCGCTGGGTGACTGAAGTCAATGGCTTGAATGCCTTCCTCAGCCACACCCCAGGCCACAGGCCTCCCTCTCTCTGACCTCCCTGTAGAGGCAGGTGGGGAAAAGGAATCGAGGAGATAAAACCAAAATGAGATCAGCCTTAAGGTTCCACCACTGCTCAGATAAGGTATAGATAGGGAGTATATGAATACACAGCAGTGATTAACGCACCAAGAGTTTGACAGAGGGCTGTAATACTTTGCTTGCAGTTCATCTGGAGGCAACAAGACAACAAAAAATGTCTCAATAATTACAGGGATTACTTGATAATATTGGTAAGGCACATTTTTTTTTTAAAATTAATGTTAAAGAACAGTTTAAGAGCAATCGGAACTTTCTGATGATGAAATACAAAAAAAGTCATTAATTTTTGCTGATTTGCCTTTATTAGTAAAAAGTACAAACGAAAAAATTGTACTTTCATGAAAAAGTAAACCAGGCTTGCAGAGTTTTGCAATGTTTGATATTGCTTTTACCCAACGGAGGTGAGATGGCTCAGATTATCTCCAGCAGACCCAAGCTTCTTGCAGCCCTAAATCATTATGAACCCCATAGCACAGATGTAAAACAAAGAAGACTATGTATGGCTCCTAACCAGAGCCAAAAAAAGCTGAAATAGGGCTCTGGTTGAATTTAGGTTTTTCTTTCAAGCACATGTTTTACATTAGCAAAACTTCACAGAACTTCGCAGGTGAAAACACACGGTGGTGAGCTCGGGGAGATGCCTCTGGCTGCCACTGCCTGGGCCACGCTTCGCAGTGCTCCTCTTCTGTCTCCAGCCCTCCTACTGCAGCAACAGCAGTAGCTCGGGCAGAAGTGCCAGAGTTTTGGGAAGAGAGAAAATGCCAGGGCAGTCATGAGAAAGAAAGTGCAAGCAAGAAGCCGTCTGGTGTTGAAGCCATTGTCCAGAACAAAGTGAGTCCCGAGTTCTGGATGCTGCTCCCACACAAAGATTGTGTCTCAAGGGTGCTTATTATACATACAACATTATGGTATAGCATAGGCATATATTATACAGAATGTTATGTACATAATGCAGGATGTATTGTCAGAGTTTTTATTTATATTTTGCATTCAGTGGAATGCAACACGCTGGTCTATGACAAACAAGCTGTGTGACAGGGGAAGGCGTGCAGGGGGAGAAGGAGGGAGGAGAGAATTTAACAGAAATAACTCCACTTAGTGTTTGAGTGAGCGATGTAATGAAATCTGTTTGCTGTGCTAGCTGTCTCCAGATTGGGCTGTAATTACACCACAGAAGGAAGAAAGGTAGCTGAGTCTCAATCTAGATCATTTATGTAAACTCAGCCTTCTTGTCAACGGTGTTCTCAGATTGCATGCATGCAAACCACAAAAATCATCTCCTATGAACAAAACAGAGACGGTCTCAAATTGCAGGCTTCTGATACACCTTCTATGCTGGCTGTAATTGGACTTCAAAATTCAACACACTGAGGTTCAAAACTTCTCCAGTATTTTCTGCATTTTATTCAGCGTGGTGAAAGACTGTACTCACAGAAGAGCATTCCTCCTTGCTTTCTGCCAAAGGCCGATGTCTAGCCTTACAAATTAACATTTACTTGGCTTAAATCAACGCAAGTGTCACAAACCTAGGAAATTCTTTTGTGTAAGACTGTGTTGAAACAAACTGCTTGATCTGAGGGAGGGATATTCCTTCCCCCAGGAGAGCTGGAAAAACCTCGTTCTTTGACCCAGAGCAACATATTTTATACACACAGTATAAAACCCAGGCAGTCACTTCCCTTAACAGAGCCAAATTACTATTTGCTTAAATATTTTAAAGCTCCTACTTACCATGCTTGACACATTTTCTCAAATACAGAAAGCATTAGGCACAGGGTAGTTTTGCATTTGAATACATCGAAACAGTGTGAGGAGACACGACTGCATGCAGACAGAGAGAGGATTTTCCCCCATTAATCCGCAGAATTGCCCTTCCCCTTGATAAGCAGGTACGTTAATTCCTGGCTTTGGTGCTCGCTCTCTGGGCAGGTTTGAGCGGGTTTCTTGTGACACCTGCATCTTCACGCCTCTCCATCCCTCCCTCCATCCTTCCCTCCCTCCCTCCCTCAGGCAGGAAAACCACCGGCCTCCGCCCTGGC